ATGAAAGTTTGCGTTCCCTCTTTCATTAGAGTGCTTTAAATACTGGATTTCCTCTCTGGTTTATAGCTAAAAGGTGGTAATGTATACATAGTGTGCTGTCAACCAGCTGAAACCTTTAGAAAAATATTTTCATCCGAGTTTAACCATTAGATCCTCTGTCCTTTTGTAATGTTGAACCGCTTGCTGCACATGGTCTTTATTGTATAACGCCGCCACTGGCTATAATAATACACCATGCATCTATATTAGTGAAATTTTAAATTGCATCTTTTCCTAGAAAACAAGCTCCCACACACTATCGCCCAAATAAGGTGGGGAACTACTGACAGAGCTGCATGTGGATAACACCAGTTTGAAGCAATAAATCTGAGATATGTAAACATCCGTGTCTAATCCTCCACACACAACCTTTACCACAGCATGTGAAATTCCATTCCTCCTTGTGAAAAAGAGACATCTCGGTGCAAAACGAAGCTCACCGAAATGGAGGCAATCCCTACAGTGCACCTACTTGTCTCCTGTATAAAAGTAAGTTGTTTGCTGACCAAGCGCTACGGCCGATTGCCATGGTAACAGACCACAGTCAATAGAAAGCTCATCAGCGCGCACATTACTGGGCGCGTGTCTGACAGAGATTCACAGCTCTGTCTGAATAAGGCCCTGCATTTGACAATAATAAAAAACACAATCATGTGCTACATCTGGGAGAGCACGGCTGCAGCCCTAAAAGGAATTGTATTATATTACCTCTGTAATTTTCCACCGCAGGTGATTGCCATAGTTACAGACTCCCTGACAGACCTGGATATCTTTAAGGACCTTCAGGAGGCATGCACCCACCGCAAAGTCCCTGTCTACATCCTGCTCGACCAATCGTGTGCTCCTGCTTTCCTCAGTATGTGCAGAAATGTTGGCGTTCACCTGGATGACCTCAGGGTATGTGCTTGGTTCAGTAAAGCTGGGTGTGGCTCTGTGTGCACATTACGAACATCAGATGGCATCAAATTAAAATATGTCCTGTCAGACTTCATATGACCGGGCGGGGCTGCACTTATCTCTAACTCCTGTTCTTTCTCTCTTTTTTTAATGTGCACAGCAAATGAGAGTACGAACCATAACTGGTACAACGTATTACATGAGATCAGGAGCAAGGATTACTGGGGAAGTTCATGAAAGGTTCATGCTGATTGATGGAAACAGAGTGGCTACAGGTTCCTACAGGTAACAGCCTGCTAACCATTTTACCTAAACTCAAATGTCTTAGCTGGCTATTATGTAGCTATATAATAGTAATACATTGTTCATGCTGGCTTTGGATAATTGCAGCTGCTTACTTTGAGTCACGCATGTTGTTAAATCCCGTTCCTGTACAGGTTCAACTGGACTGATGGCAAACTAAACAGCAGCAACCTAATTGAGCTTTCCGGTCAGATAACAGAGAAATTTGACGAGGAGTTCCGCATCCTCTACGCCCAGTCTCTGCCTGTAAACACTCGAGGACCTCCGAGTGTCCGAAACAGTGGCATATATGAGCATCTCCTAATCAAACACTCAGTTACCGCCTCCCCTCACCTGGCCAGAGAGAGACCTGTGGTGCCAGCGTGCCTGACCAGCACACCCAGCCGCAAGCCCCAAACTTCAGCTGTCCAGCCCTCGTGTGAATCCTCATCTCCAGATTGTCGTAAAACCGACCCAGTGTCCGACTCCTCCACCATAGGTGTGGACTGGACGGAGCAGCAGCACATGCAGGAGGAGATCCTGGCTGGGAGCACCACTCAGCGTTTCCCTGCAGATCAGCTAGCAGAGAAAGAGCCAGTGACCCCCGGCACCTTCTTCTGCCACGCCTCCACTCAGACCAGCCGGTCAGAAATGGACAGTGACACCCAGACTGACCTCCAGCTCACACAACGCACTGACCTCATCGCACCAACAAGCACAGTGCCAAACCCGTCTCCCAGGCAGACCTCGCCCACCCAGGTAGCTCCAGACGGCACCTTAAGGGACTGCTTCCACAGGCTGGCCCAGGAGCGCCAGTACCACTACTCCACCATCCGCTCCAAACTGGAACACATGGTGACCGCCCTGTCCCAGAGGCGAGAGTTAGCGGACGTCACCAACATGACTCAGGGGCCTGGCGCTCAAAGCAGGAAGAGGGTACACAAAGAGTGCGGGCAGCAACCAAACCCCAGACTGCTTGTTGAAAGTGCGGGCATGGGCACATGGCCAAGAGCCAGATGTGTACACTAGTTTGTCCTCAGGGATTTCACTGATGGAGGGCAGTGGGGGAAGATCTGTGGCAAGGTTTCTTCAGAATGCTCTGTTTCAAATAAATGGTTTTGGCTTATGCTGTAGAATTCCAGCTTTCTTCTATTTGTCTTCTTTTCTGCAGTGCCCACTTTTGTGCTTTTCATGCTGGTCCTTTCCATGTCAGAGCGGTTTTTCATGTAATGGTAATAATGCAGAATTGTAATTGACACTAACATCTTGCAGAAATTATTATTTTAACCAAAGACACGGTGCAATAATCATTTTTTGAGCATGTCAGTTTAATAAATATCATTTGCTGAGGCGGTTAACACTGGATAATGTCTGCTGTAGTATGAGTGAAAAGGCATTGAAGTGCTTGTTTTGGTTATTTAATCACATTTGGCTGCTGTAACTGCATCTTAACAACATTCCAGAGAGCAGCTGGCTCTCACTGTGCTTTGCTAATAAAAAAAGTAGTAGTTTGCTAGATAAGTGCTTATTTTTGGTCTTTTCTAACACTTATCCATCCTTTGTGTTCATGTTTTCTTCCATTGCAGTTAACAACTGTAATGAAATCCATGTGAAAAAACTAATTTTGTTTAGAAGTTCCAGGATACACAAGGAAGTAAACCAAGCCAAAGTGACTTCACAAAGAGAATGAGCACCTGCGCCTTAAGCACTGCGGTGCCTTCATGCAATTAGTTGAGACGGCATCTGTGATACTGGCACCTCCGCTGATTATGTAGCCAATCGCAGTTGCTATCCAGGGTGGATTTGGAGGAGAAGCTCTGTCACAGATTACAAACATGGATTAGGATGAAATGAACGCTTCTTTACACACACAGATGGGATTTTACAACTCCTGATTCCTTGCTGTTATATTACATTTTATATTCATTTTCCACACAGACTCTGTCAACATCATTCTTGGAAATGGGGATTTCAGATGGCTGAACAGCCCAAAAAAAAACAACCTGCACATTTTTATGCATCAGCGAAGCAGAGGGTTGGCATTTGTGCAGAGCTCCATATTAGCAACAATCTACACATATACTGAATCATGGTTTTACATGGGCTCTATGTGCTGCTGAGCCTGGCACAAACAGTGCTCCAGTCTTCATATCTCACATTTACACGAGATATGAAGCACAAAGGTCCCACTGTAAATGATCAAAACATGTCACTGAGAGGTGTTCTCAGAAGGCCCTGAGTTATAAATGTATTACCCTGAGCTTGATGTGATTAATGTTTAACTGTATTGAGGAGATGAGGTGTAACTATCTGAGACCAAGATGTACTGATAGCTTTATTCACAATGGAAGGAGACCTGCTGGATGTGGTTTCAGTACATGATAATAGTAATAATACATAATAAAGTTATTATGATGGAGAGCAGGAAGCAGTAGGATTGTGTTTACAGATGTTCAACTTAAGTCTGGAGTTAACTAATGAGTTTAAGCACATTTCTTTCTTGCAGTGAAGTGGATTCAAATGTGGGAAAGAACTGTTCTTCGATTTATTGTACAGTAGACCCACGGAGTAAAACTTAGACATAAAGAGACAGCTAAGATGAACCAAATAGTTGCATATATGACGAGTTGCATTATAAATAAACTTGCTTTTCTAAAAAGCTGACACTTAAAACATATAGGATATGTATTTTTAATATATTTCATACTGTGTAAACATTAAAGCTTTATTGCTATGTTGTATAGCAGTACTTGTACTTAAGTGTACATCTCAAAATCAAGTCAGTCATTACATTCATAATGGCTTATTCATTTATTCCAGTGGTGAAAAATCACTATGTACATTTACTCAAATAACGTAGTGAAGTACAGTTTTGAGGTGTTTGTACTTTACTTTGAATATATTAATTGTATGCTCCTTTATACTTAGTATTGTAATGTTTATTCCAGTACATTTATCTTACAGTTACAGTCACTTTACAGATTAAGATTTTATATACAACATATGAGATGATCTTAACAAATAAGGGTCGCAGCTAATTAACCTAAAGATCATTTTCTTAAAAAACACCCACTACAATTTCCCAGTGTCCATAATGCAGCAAATCACCACAGTGAAGAATCTAATAAAAAAATGACTGCATATAAAGTAATTAACTTAGCTCCACCTTGAGTGATAGGGGATGGTTAAATGATCTTGATAGGAGCCATTCTGCCTTCATAATATTAATTTAGCTATACACTTTTACTAAAGAAACAAACTTCTTCACCACTGTTTTATTCCTTACCTTGTTCCTATTAAGGGCCACACATGTATGTCTTTCCCAAAATCAGTTCATTGATTGGTTAATTGTAGTTTCACCCATTTTGTGTGATATTGTGTAAAAATTACTGTGTTTTGCAGAGAAATGTACTAAAAGGTCAGACTAAATTATGGTTATAACCCCTAATTATATAATGTTACTGTTTAAAAACATCATTGTTTAATTTACAAGATGCCACGTTATTACCATCCAGACTTAACATAGCCTACAATTCACTATTACATGATAGTAAGGTAAGAACAGCAGGCCCTTCAGTGGCTCCTCCTGTGGCGTGTGCATCTCCTACCAGGCAAACACATCAAAAGCCTCTGCATTCATTATGTATAATGTCGCAGCTGAAGGGAATTGATCTACAAGTAAATACAATGGTGGTAATATGTGAGAGAATGGTATTTGATTTTAATTGGCTGCTGCAAAGCAACCACTGGCTGCAATCAAGGAAGCAGCGGGGGATCCACAACAGAACAGTCTGTACCTATTAGGCTTGGCTCACTGGTAAACAGAGAAGCTAACATATTCCACTTCACATGTGACAATTAAAAAACTATATCTATGATCAACATTTTAATTGTTTTCTGTTCCTGGATAGAAAGTGCCTATTTTTACTTGTTTACTGGGATTCCAATTGAGATGCGCATTAGCTGCAACACTAGCAGGACTCATCCACCAGAGAGAGCCCTTTCCTTAGCTAAAACATGATCGCTGGCTCATTTTTCTCATGTATCCTGCTTTACTCCCCTTTTGGAGAAGTGTTGGAACTCTAGAAATACCAATGGTTTACTTCTTAGAATGGGACAGCACAGTATCAGTCTTTTGCAACATAAAACTTTGCTGGATTATCATCATATCATTTTTAAATATTTGTTCATCATGTATCAGTTCAGATGGCTGCCTCACACTGTCTTAAACTGCAAAATCTTTATTTTCACGTTTAGGGTGAACATATTTTGAGACACCGTCTGGTGTCCCCTTCAGGTCACTTATAATCCCTAGAGACTTGTAGAACATTTCCCGCTGCATGCTGGGTAAAATCCTTGTGGATGTCAGCATGTCTGATAGAAGGTGTAACATTATATCCTACCAAATATTGTGTTAAGGCCTAATCCTGTAAGTCAGCACGCATACGCTATTTTGCATAATGACAAATCACACCCATCCAGACTGGAAATAACCTCTTTATTGCAGGTGTGTAGAACCGGGGACAACAATAGTGATGTTTTGTTTAAGGAGGTTATAGTACACACTGAATGTCAAAAAGATGTAAATGTGGATTTATTTGTAAAAACTGTTATGTATTTGTTGCACATGCAGGTTTGTATGCTTATTATGTGTTTTTCTTTGGAAAACCCTGTAATTTGTAACGTATGAAATGTAGATTTGAAGGCCAGGACTTGTGCATCCTGACTGCAGTGTTTTACACTAATTCAGAGTCCCACAGGACAGAATGGATCAGGATGATACAGACAGACAGCAGTTGTCAAACAATTGATTATTGGATTTATCCATCACCATGTAGATTTATTTAGGCTCCCTCTGTGCCTGGATGTGAATGCGCAGACTGGACGTCTACCTGTGACATTAAATATGTGTAATGGCATTATATTCTCATATAAACTGAATGAGCAGTGGAATTTGTATCAAATGTTCAGATTTTGGCTCTGGCTCCTGGAAATAACAAACATCAGGTTTGGCTTCTGACACTGACTGACAGAGTCAAACGGCTCTCCTGCTGCTGAACATAAACCTTTTAATTACTGCAAACATGGTTGATGAGTTTGAAGCTTGATTACTTGGCCTTCATTAGTCAGATTGTGAGCTATAGTGACTCCCAGAGGCGCAATTTGGCATCTCTAAACGCTGCCAGCCTCTGTGTTTAGCAATTACATTTACCCTACAGTACACCCAAACAGGTGCGTGTGGCCAAATACACGCACGCGCACACACAAACAGGCGCATGTATGTACACTCACACTTTTATTATTAGCTGAACAAGCAGGGCTGAATGTAGGCATTTCAGTCTGTTATTTAAATCAGAGAAAGAACCTGACTAAAAGAAAACACTGATAAAATGTGCTTAGTGTGCTGAGTCCTACTTTGTTGAACTCTGCCTGTCATAATGATTTCGTGTTTGCTGTGCCATCTTGGCTTTGTTTTCCATCAGGGCGGCCGCTGCTTGTCACTACACCGAGGAGGGTGCGTTCTGCCTCAGGCTACGGCACACTGATAATGAATGTTCAGCTCATTGGAAAAATAAAGTGTGTCTGAATTATGTGGCTGGAATCTAGCCGTTGTTTGGGTGTGTGAGTCAGGCACAGTGACATGCACGAACGTTCAGTCTGTACAACAGTCAGTCACTTCCTGCGTTGTAATGCTGATGCCAGGCCGCACTTAGGCTAATGCAGGTGGAAGGTATTGTTGATAGGCTTTTTGTGCTAAACTGCACGTTGAGCTTTAACACGCTGTCCGGCAGCAGCCTCGCCTCTATTTATAGAAGAGTACAGCTGCTCCTTAGCACCCACCCTTAAACCAGCAATCCACCGGAGATTTATGGCGTGAGCCCACAAGAAACAGCTGTAGTGTCTTGCCACTTGCTTGTCCAAAGAGTGCAAGCTGAGTTCTGTTAAGAATTAGGCTATATTTATTTTGTTTACTATGATGCATATTCACAACAGCTGACACCACTATTAAATGTAGTTATCAGTGAGTGGGATAACTCATGCTGTTGAACGTTAAAACCACAAGTCTGGAGCGTCCGGTGCTGCAGCGATGAGTCAGACTCTGGTCACAACGCCACCTGGGTCCAACACAAGTTCAACACTTGTGGTGAGCTGCTCCCCCACAGCACCATGTGTCCCTGTATGTTGGCTCAGCATACTGTCTTACATCTGAAAAAAACAACAACGTAAAAATAGTTTGTTCCTAATGAAAGTGACTCTGTGTATACGTCCCTGGTGAGGACAGAGAAAAGATTCCCAGGACTTTGTGTTTTGTACAAAAAAAACAACACAGATTTGTCCTTTTGTTAATTTTCTACCTTAACTGTCTACTTGATACTGTATCTACTGTCCAGTTCACCACAGCCTCTGCTTGGCCAGAACTGATTCTAGCCGTGTAAATTGGCAGGAAACTGCTGTGGAGCTACAGTAGGCAGAAAAATTGGCCTGATGGTCGCTGCCTTTATGAGAGAGAGAGAGAGAGA